GTTTATTGGGGGCGCCCGTGACGCTTATATTTGCTACTTGGTTGTTTTGGTTTGCCTGTTGGTCACCATGGTAAAACCTCGATCTTCTTCTAAGACTAGGACCCCTAGGACTCCTCAGCCCCCTCCACCCCAGCATTCCATTCCCGCCTCTGACCCTTCGCACGACCCTTCCTCCTCTGGGAGGCGGGCTCGTCTTGGGCGATAAAGAGGCGTCCATATCTCTGACCCTGCACATTTTGGGGGTCATTTGGACTTCACCCGGGCAGCCGACAAGCGGCGCTATGAAGCGGCTTGTGAACGACGGATTATTTCTTGTCGTTATCGGGACCCCGCTACCTTGGGCCTTCTAAACATTAGCGTCCCCTTTCACGATTTGATTGAAGCCATCGGGTGGCACCCCTATTCTCGTATCACTGACCTCCCGGCTTTTGTCGAGTTAGTTAGGGAGTTTTATGCCACGTTTGAGTTTGACCTTCCCACTAATTACACAGTTTCTACCCCTGATGCCATCCGCTTCCGTTTAATGGGCCAGGAATTCCACCATTCCATAACCGACTTCAATCTGGCCTTTGGTTTCATTGAGCCTTCTTATGCTGAGTCTAGGGAGTACGCCGAGAGTGCATGTGACTATGTTCAGCCGTTTTTCTCCCGCTATCGCTTTCTTTGGGATGAGATGTCCGTAGACAAGGATAACTATGACCCTCGTCTATCTAAGGGTTCTTATCTGAAGGACCCGGCCTCTCGTTATATCCACCGTTTTTTGGCTTACAGTTTCTCGGGTAGGCGAGATAGTTCGGGCGTTTTGTCTAAGCCGGAATTTTTCTTTATATGGTGCATGCAAAACAATATTAAGGTTAACCTTGGGTGTTGGCTCGCTTCTCAGTTCAAATCCATTTTGCCTAAAAAGAAGCGCCCCTTGATTTTGGGGTCTTACATTACCCACTTGGCTATTAATTTGCATGTCCTTGATATTTCTAACCATAACTTGCATGTAGCCTGTCAAATGGAGCCATTGGATATCCCGTGCTTAGAGAAAATGGGCTTAGTTCGGGAGGGCGACAATGGTTGGGAGGTTGTTCCCCCGGGGCCGCTCCGCCCTCCCCCTCGGTCAACTTTTGCCCGAGCTCCCCATGAGGGCGGCGCTCCCGGTCCTTCTTCCTCCGCTCCCCCCCCTTCCGCCCATACGGATGAGGAATGGAACCATCTCCGCAGCACAGTCGAGCGGCTTGAGATTAGGCAGTGACACATGGACGTTAACATTCACAATATGGCGCAGAATCTAGCGGCGTTTATGCAGCAGGCCGGGTTCCCTCCGCAGTTTCCGCCTAACCCTCCCTTGTCTTGACGACTCCAGGGAAGTACCGTTGCCCCTCCTTTTTCTCTACTATTATATTATCACATTGAGGGCAATGTGTCATTTAGGTGTGGGGGGGTCTTTGTTTGAGTGCTAGATATTTCCCATTTTTCGTTTTTGGGGTGTTCTTGCTATACTTTTAGTAAGTGTTTTCTGTGTAGGTGTTGTCCCTTTATTCCCTTTTGAGTGCCTTTTCCTTGCTTCTATCTTGGTGAATATTTTTGGCAGCTCACTTTTTCTTGTTAGTTGTGGTTTGTACTATGAGTTAAGTTACAGTGGCAAGTAAAAGCATGCTTTCTTGGTGAATACTTTGAGTTTAACGACGTGGTGCAATTTATGGCTAACTTGTTTAGGCAATATAAATATTTTGCTGGCACTGTTGTGTAGTTTGGTCTCCTGTTTACCTTAGTCTCCATATTTAGGACATGACGCAGGCTATGATCTGTAATTACTTGGTATTTTGGTGTTTTATGGTGAATAACATATGGCTGTGCTCCGCTAGTGTCGCCACCTAGTAACCGGGAGTCTTCACCACAAATGTCGGCTCTCGCGTCAAAAAGTGGCGATATCTATGAGTAAGTGGTCCTGGAGCTGTGAAAAGTTGAGTAACTGGGCTCTTTCATCTAAAAATGTCAGTGTTCACGTCAAAAGACTTGAATAGCTCGGGACTAAGCATTATTCTTGCAATCTAAAAAAAAAAAGAGAAACGAAAAAAAAAAAGAAAAAATCAGATATGGAAAATGTGAGTTTATGATCATGTTGGCCTGCCGATCCTTGGTTCGCACTGTTGAGATTTTGGTTGCCAGTTGACTTAATTACTGCCTGTTGCTAGTTAATATTTGGATTTCCTAAGCGAATTAGCCATGAATTGGACAGGTCTATGAACTTAGAAGCTAACCGAGTAAGATATGACTTGACACTTAGCCGCTAAATCTTGATTTTGAGTATAAGCACAGCTGGTAATGAAAGTGTGAAAGCTAGCCTGTGTTGAGTTGAATTGTCCCCATGCTTGAGGACAAACATGATTTAGGTGTGGGGGGAATTGATAGGGTATAATTTGTTAGTAATTTTATTATTAATTTTCCCTTTTATCCCTGATAAATATTGTGTTAATTGCTGAGATCTACTCATTTTTGGTATATGGACTTAATTTCAGGAGTGAAACAGAAAACTACCAAAAAGGAGGGATTTTATGGAGAATATGGAGACTTCTAGGGGCTTCAATTCTTGGGCCCTTGAATTGGTGGGGGACCACAAACTATATGTCATTTGAGCTCTTCAAAGGAAGCTACGGAAAGAGACTTGGGCAAGTAATACTTTGAAGGCTTTGTCCACATGTGTGGGGACCACCTAGATAGGCTTTAGTCATCTTTCTTTTGTTGCTTAAATAGGGATAACGTAGAGTAGTAGAGATATCTTTAGTTTTAGTCTTTTAGTTCAGTTTTTAGTTCTGCTTTCTCCTGACTGGTCTCTGACGCACGCCAGGTGTTCGACAATATTCCCCAACGGGAAAAACACCTTTTATTCCTTGCTTCTTAATAGAAAACGCAATGCCTTTGCAATCTATTAATTCGTGTGATGATTTAATTATGCGGCGTGGCTAAGTCTTCCATCTAGTCAAGGGTCAACTCGACGGCGCAGTCCCGAAAATCTGTGAGATCTAATTAGTTTTCACGTGTTCCTTTATCTATTAATATTTGCATGTTGTCTGATTTAATTTTCATGGGATTATTTTATTAATTGGATGTCAAGGGCCCGATGTTCAATGTGATTTATTAATCTCGTGCCAATTTAGTCAATTAAATCCGTAATTGTTTGATTGATTAATATTAGTGGCAACTGGTGTGTTTACACATTAGGGGAACGTGCAATCTAATTTAAATAACCCTCGTAGCGTGTTATTGGTTGGGGCTAGGTTTTTCTAGTTATTAATGCAATTGGAAAATTAATTCCTATGGTCGTACCTAGGAGTATTTGCTGATTAGGGGTAATCAACGGTCGTACCTTGGTTATCAATAATTTAAGGAAAAATTGGTCATCAGACTATAACTAGCCTATTAATAAATTAAGTGAACCTCTCCTGCATCAATGATCGGATAAATGGACTGTGCCTGAGTAGTTGCATCCTTGGCTAGAATTTATTTATTCCTGATTAAATTCCTGCTATATTTGTGCTAGTGATTTATTCATTTTTAATTAAATTGTCTGATTATTTTTAGTTTCATTCCGGTAAAATCCCCCCTTATCAATTGGACTTTAAAAAGAAACAAATATCTCCAGTCCCTGAGAAGACGACCCTACTTGTCACTGTCTACTATTTAGTAATTTTTGTCAATTAATTAATTCTGGTATATCGGATTAAGCAAACTCTTCGGGAACAGGGTGAATCAAGTAACCCATTGCACACCTAGAGTCCCTGCTCCAGTACCTAGGATTAATTATTGACTGCTCTTAGTGGTAGCTAGGTTCTATATTATTATTATTATTATTGCACAGGCTGACGACCTGTCACTCCCCTTCCTCTAGAATAGATTAGATTATGTTATACAAATATTATCATTGTCGAAAAAATATAACTTTCAGGTATAGAGGACTAAAATAATAAAGAGAGACATATAGAAGATGAAATATTGGCAACAACTAAAGATAAAAATAAATAAATCATAAAATTCTGTAAGATGTGGTTGCCAGATAATGGTCCTTGGGGACCATAATCCGTCAGTATCATAGATGCATTGGAGAAAATGGATTGTGTTAATCTCATGAGGTATTTTTAAATCTATAGAAAAGCCCCTCAAAACATGACAATCTAAAGGAAAAACGCATCAACAATACATGACATATAGGAAAATAGCACTAGCATATAAATGCATTGGAAAAGTTGGTTTGAGAGCTCATTTCCCCAACAAAAACCCATGTTGAATTATAGATCTAATAATATGACCTCAAGTTTTCCTTAAGTTGACAGTCATGATATAGAAACTACTATAGGTGAAGCCTAAGAGTTTTTTTCCCGATTCTTGCTTTCCTGTTTTCCTATTTTTACTTCTGGCAAAGATTTACTATACCACTTTCTTACTTTACACAAGAAAATCAGTGTGATCAAATGGCGAAGAAGAAATCATCAATAGAAGAGAAAGGCATTTAGTTGTCCCTGGCATTTTTGGAATTTGAGCAAAGTCCCGAAGGATGTTTTGTCTTTTCAAAATTACATTTATTCAAAATCAAAGTATCTTAGTAGAAAGTGCTTTTTTATCTTTTTGTTATCATAAAATCCAAGATCTAGATGCAAACACAAATGAAAACATAGAAAAGAAAAACTGAAATCTGGATCTAGAATAAGTTGATCAAACATGGAATATATCCTATTTCTGTATAAAAGCAGCAAGCTAAGCTGGAAACAAAGCTGGAAAACAACATGTTTCATTCATTTGAAGGCTCTCTCGAGTACTTTAATGTCTCAAGCTTCAGCTCTCATTTCTTGAAAAGCTACAAAATAAGAATAACGAAATAACACAAGTACAATAACACGTTTGCTTGGTTGTCAAAGCTGTTGAACTGTCTGAACAATTCAAGCTGAAAAGCAAACAATGTTAAATAAAGCATTTTATCTCTATTAAGCTGCTAATGTCAATATATTGGCGACTCACCATTTATTGAACATGCCAACATACCCTGCATCCCGTGAACCGACATATAACTTTCCGGCGTTGACATCGTATTCTTGTAAGGCATTAACTAGAGTGTTATTAAATTGCCCTTGCAAATTCTCTGTTATTAGCAATTGACCAAATATATTAAATTTGTAACCAAAACGCGTAACAGAAACTTGGCTGTGAAACAATGTTATTTGCTGCCACCCAATATTCTCCGCATGTGGGAGTCCTCTTGATTTTAATTGGATTTCCGGTTAAGTTCAGAAAAACTTCAGTTGTATCTTCCATGAGCCGATACTTGATGATTCTTTTGTCGGAGAATTCTGAAAACAGCACAAATGAGCCATCATGGCTAAATGCAGGTCCAGCTGGTACTGAAAGCCCGTCCGATACCACCTTGTATTTGATCAATCTTCCACTTGAATCAGGAGTAAAATTTCCTCGTACAACAGTTCTGCAGAAAATTGATCACAAGCATATTCAAGGACAGCAAGCGTACAATTGAACTGTTTGTCGTGAATGAAGAACTTCCAGTGTAATGATCCAATCACGAGCTAAAAATTCCGAATGATGCTTTAACTACTAATTCTTGCAAACTTTTCAAGGTCTGATTGCTTTAACTTTAACATAAATATTATAAAATATACCATAATTTCTAGTATTTTTAGGAATGTACTTTTCACTTTTAGTAGTTAATGTACCCACAAGAAGCGTTTCTTAACTTCATATATCAACTTGTTAATTACAATTCAAAAGAGTGAAGCCGAGTAACCAGAAACGACTGTTTACTAATAGCTTGTAGAGATTTAAGAATTCAAATTTTTTTAGGAGGGATCTGAATCTTGAAATCAAATTGACAACTTTTCAACAGGATCATTTGCCCCTTTTTTTTGGGGGGGGGGGGGGGGGGGGGGGCGGGGACCCATATTTTACAACTTGTGGTGGTGGCACTTTCCATATCCCTAAGTTGTTAATTCATGCAAAATAGTAACTACATAAAACTTACTTGCTTGTGACAGGGACACTGCTAATTTTGTCAAAGTTTTATACTGCCCTACTGAAATTTTGTCAACAAAATTTAATGCATAAAAATTTAGGAAATTCTCTACGGCAAGCTACTGTTACTGTTAAAAACATACCTTATGTCAAATGTCTGGCTTGCATCTGTGAAAATGACGTCTCTTGTAATTGGATTAACATCACAGCCAGTGAGAAAATTGAATCGAACACCATTTGCACCGGTAGCAATTATTGTATCTATCCCTCCATTTGGACCTACGCTTGCAAAACCAAAGAATGTGTCCGCCAGATGGAGAGATCCACTTATAGGGTCGAAACTAATTCCAAGAATCCTTCCACATGTTGGCCCTAAATTTGGATCTGTTACGCCATCACAAAACTGCTTGCTCCTATATTAAAGAAACACGATGAATTAAATTCCTCGTATAAGTTATCATATCGAACATGTACTACATCGACTTCATTAGGCATACCGAGCTAGAAACAAATTGATGATTAGAAAAAAGGGAAGAAATTGACAACTTTATTCTTTTCCGGAGAAAAGCATTTCGTTAAGCTACATATGACAACTAGGAACGTTAATGGACTGCACATGCAATGATAGTATATATATGGTCAATATAATATATACAAAATTTACTTTTAAATTTAATGTTTATATGGTTTAAATTGTGTCTGTTTTGGATTTTCTTTATTCTAACGAAAGATAAAGTGTTCAAAACAAGCTTTTGCCAGCTGTGATCCAATCACTAATTATTCTTATAGATTTTATTTTCAAATCAAGCAACTTGGTATAAGGACTTTGAAACTACCTGGTTTTTGTGTCAAAGACCAGTAGGAGAAGTTGCCAAAAACAACTTTGGTTCAATGTGGTTTAATTCTGCGTTTTGAAACTCAGACTAGACAAAGATTCGGTAAAGCTCAGGGGTCAAAGGGTAAATGGGTCCAATTGGGTTCGACTGGTGTCAAAAATCGGATGACGTTAGCATGATGGCATTAATAAAATTTAATTAAAATTAAAGTATTATGTAAAATATTATGTAAAATTAAAGTAGATATTTGATATTTCAAAGTTATTTAACAAGAAAATAAAAATAACATAGAATAATCAACTAGTATTTCGTATAATTTAATGTCTATTTCATAGTTTTGAATTAATTTTGGAGATTTATTTGAAGTAAAACACTAAAATTTAGGACTATCTATAAACTATAAAATATTTCTAAGCATGTCAACAATTTTGAGATACTTTAGAAGTCAAAACATAAAATTGTTATAACGTTGAACCCAAACAAAAATTTTCTCGTATTTCTTCTTGACTGTAAACCGAAAGCACTCCCGTTGCCGTCACTCTCTTCCATTCTTCCCCTGCAACTTCTTCTTCTTCTGACTCTTTTTTTTTTTTCGTTTTTCGTTCCAGATTTCATCGTGCTAGTCTTTTCTCCTCAAAGTACAAAATACACCATTTCCCCAATCCTAAAGAAGAAATTAATCTGCTAGGGGCAAAGCAATAAGATAAAGAAATGCAAAGGAACTAATGAAATTTATTTACAGATGAGAAAGAACTAAAATTCCGTGGTAGTGAAAATTCAGGGAGAGGGGGTTCAGGAAATCTCTTATTAAACTATTGAAGAGGCAGGTTTGGAAGGGGCGTTATGCGAATTGTCACGCTAAAATTGGAATCTCTAAAAGGTCATCATTTAGCGGTCCTTGCTGTATGCTATAGGTGTCAAAATAGGTGATTTGAGTGGGTTTGGACGGTTTGAAATGGGTAGTTAGTATAAGTAAGTCAATCTATTTATATCCATTTTATTAGATGGATATAAATAGGTAATTCAAAATATGAAACCCATTTATAATCCATTTATTTTAACTTTTTGTAAACTCATTTAAATTCATTTTTGCAAACTAAATTATCAATTTATACCACCATTTGTACCCATTATTAGTTTTAAATATTTATTTATAATGATCAATAAGCCTAATTACCTATTTTTTTCCATCTGTGCTTTATGTCACAAAATTACATACTATTTAATAATTGAATAATAAGAATATAAAAATTTGAACTAAGTACTATAAAAGTTAACATAAAAACTTGATCCAAAAATTTTGAACCCCTAGTATTTTTTTCGTGTATAAATTTAAATTTTCGTTTTGGAAAGGTAAGAAAAGAGGCTAAATCTTGTCATCAACTGATAATGCTAAAAATAAGCAAGTTAACAAACTACAAGAAAATAAAACGATAAGATAAAACCAACAAATAATTATAATAAATGAAACAAAAGTAGTTAACATCATGACAAAATGAAGAATCTGAAAAAAAAAAATTTTAAGTAGAATATCTATCTGCGTCAAAATGCATCAAATATTTTTTAAGGCTGAAAACTAAAACGTTCCACTATATACAAGGTTTTAGTAATATTAATGCATGAAAGTCTCCAATAATGAGTTCAATAATCAAATGTAGGCCTCAAATTTTTCTAAATGGATGGATGAAGAGAGGAGGTCTGGAGAAGACAATTCTAAATCGGTTAATTAGGTTTGGTGGATATAATTGGGTAAGTCATTTATATCAATATTTAAAAAAGTTAAAATACCAGTATCCAGTTATTCATGAATGGGTATGGGTAAATTGAGTTAAATGAGTTTGTTTGCCACTTATACTATATACCTACTAGCTTTTATTTATTTATCTATCATTGTATGTACCTACTGCCGATTCCCCTTGCGCTTTTGTCATTCCATACCTTCCAGTTTTATTTGTTTATCTTAGTCATGCTTTTAATTTTTTATACAAATACCAGCCCCAAGCTAACGCAAATTGAACGTTCTGCTATATTTTTTTGATAGCATGAGTTGTATGGTCCCTGACCAAAGTAAAATAGTACAAAGTTAAACTTTAGTTAAGAGACCAAACCCTTGCCCTTATCAAAGTACATTAATTTGACTTTTATTCAACATTTCCAGGATTTATCTCTGTGAATTAGGTTCATCTCTTTCACGTTTGTGTTTTGAAATTTAGCTCTCCAATCACAACATTTTTAGAATATCCACTTCTTAGAAATTGCTGGATTTACAGCAAAAATCAAGAAAATTTTGGAGAGGTGAAGCGTTTCTCGTTCCTTACAAGTATTTTCTTTTCGTTCCTTGCAAGTATCACATTGAATAAATTTACTCAATAGTTTGTCTAAGGCTCCTCATTAAAAAAGATTTAAGTTGTTAATTTGCTCGGTAGGACTTGAATTAATTGGGCAAGCCTTTGAATATAACGAAAACCAGAAAATATGTTTGTGTGCAGTTAAATGGTAAATTGAGGGTAAATTAAGTGTACTAAAAGTTCTCATGTGTTTACGGTACATATAATCGAAAATAGTTTATTTCCGAGTTTTTTGGTGGACTAATGTAGAATCTTAGCTGTGGAATAAAATTCCGGAATGTTCTTTGTATCCTATAATTATCCTCCCATCTTGCAATGACTTATATTCTCCTGGTTTTAATCCGATGTATTGGGATCTTGTTCGCGAAAAAAATATTGAAAAATAAGAAATACAACAATTTAATGAAGCCAAAAACATAAATATGCGAATGATATACAAGTTTTTGACATGGTTTAACTCAATTACCAAACCTATATATCCACTTTCGCGTTCCATTTTTTGAAATAAAAAAGATGCTATGAAAGATGTCTACATCCATTGAAAGAAAATCTAATCTTTTATTATTAGAAAAGAATCCCATATTTCCATACAAGAATATAACTATAAACCCAATTCTACCATTTGTATAATTATTCCCACCGACCAAGAAGTCTCACTCACCCTGCGGAAAAGCCTATATGGTTGCCTTCTATGCATCTTCTGAGCAAAAAACTTTAGTCCTAATCCTAACATTTGTAAAGCCTATGTGGTTGCCTTCTATGCATCTTCGGAGCAAAAAACTTTAACCCCAATTCTGACATTTGTATAACTACTCTCCCCTATCAAGAAGTCTCTCTCACCCTATGCAAAAGCCTATATGGTTGCCTTCAGTACATCTTCTAAGCCTCGATAAATGTATAAGCACAATAAGGAATGTAAAGGGTATTTGGAGGATGCAGGGCGGCAAGGACAACGGAGAAGTTAGTATTATTATTATTTTTTTTGAAGAATTGGGGAAGTTAGTATTGCACGGGATTTTGACCAAAAAAAAAATATTTGTTGTGCAATAATTAAGTAGCTTGTAGATAGGATAGCTGATTGGGTAGTAGTTGGGGTGATTGGAGTAGGTACTGTGTAGTTTTATAAAATTGTCAAATTACAAAAATTAAAAGAATAAAGAAATCAGAGACTTATTTTACTCATATTTAGAGTACTTCAAAAGCAAGAAGAAAAATTGAACAAGTATTTTAAATTCTTCAGCTTGAACATACTTATATCATAAGAATAAAGATGCACAAATATGGAAACGACAAACTTATGGTATATATAAATATTATTATTTCTGTATTTTCTAACACAAATTAGAAGTTAATTGGCTTCAAACGAATTATTGGTATGTGCCGTGCAAGCAAGGCACAATCCTCAGAAGATATGCTGAATCATTTTCTTAGCAAAGATGACATACGTTGATTTACAAGTGGAAACGAAGCTCTATACAAAAGGTCCACCCCTCATCGTTTAGGACTGCATTAAGGAGCCATCGACCATTGTTTTCTTTTCTTTTTTCCCCCCCTAGAAATACTGATAAAAATTTTTGAAGGAAAAATGAGTTCTGAAGGCCCAAAGCTTCCCTTCATAGATTTCTCAAACCAAGAGCTGAAACCAGGATTTCCATTGTGGAATTCCTTGAAAATTCAAGTTCGAGAAGCCCTTGAAGAATATGGTTGCTTTGAAGCATCATATGACAGAATCCCTATTCAGCTTAGAAAATCTATTTTTGATGCTGTAACAGAGCTTTTTGATCTTCCATTGCAGGTCAAAGTGAAAAACTCAAACGGCAAGCCTTACCATGGTTATATCGGACAAAGTCCACTCTTCCCACTATACGAAGGCATGGGAATTGATGAAGCAAACGTCCTAGAACATGCTGAGAGCTTCTCCAAGGATATGTGGCCCGCAGGGAACTCTGAATTTAGGTACACAACTTTAAAGCAACATCTATTTTCTTTATAGAAGTAGGTGTGGAGAAAAATGCTTGGACTTATGATTACAAGGTCGAGGCTCCAAGAAATTAGAGGGTTTCCGTTCAAATCACATGTCCCTATCTTCCGTTTCTTAAATAGGAGCTCCTTCAATACTAGAAAAAATTAGACGCCCAATGTTATGAACTGTTGAGATCATGCCTTCAGGCAGGGACGGAGCCAGAAATTTATTTTTGAGGGGGCTGAAGTGTATTAAAAAAATTTTTTTGTGACGAAATAAATATATTTAATAAGTAAAATTTAGAATCAATAATTATAAAAATAATAAAAACATATAATTATACATACCCAAAAATAAGTATTGGTAGTTGTTGCACTCGAATAACGAAGAGGAGGCAATTGCATTCTGCGAGTCTTCATCCGTTGAAAACGCTACAATATTTGCTCATTTTCAATTGTTGCAAAAATATCCTTCTCGATGGGATTGCAGGAAAAAAAAAAAAAAAGCACAGTCGGAAGATGGACCTCTGCTCTTACCTACCACCGTAATATAATGGATTAGGATTCCCAGCAGCAGTTACTTTGGGGCAGCTTCAGAGCTTTGCCAAGTTTATTTGCTACAAATTTTTTAAAAACTTTAATTATAGTAATCTCAAAAATTTCTCAAAATTTTTAAACTACACACTTCAAAATATTCAAAAATTTACGCACTTCAAAATTTTTTAAAAAAACTTCTATAGTAAGATACAGTAAAGTTTTAGACAAAGATCCAAAAAACTCACTTGCCAAACCGGGGCAACATTCGTAGCAGCACTTTTGTGAAGAGAATAAATGTTTGTTTAATTCCAACGGCACCACTCGTGACTTCTTGAGGCAGCAACAATTGACACCAGCTGAGCTGAGCTGAAGAATTGCACGCTTCGATGGGCCTTCTGTCCATTTTCCCAACGTCAGTCAAATCCATGGGCCATGGACACCAGCAACAATTGACTTTTCTATTTGAACTTTGGTCTACTCTTCCTTCTAACCCAAAAAAAAAAATTTTTGGCCTACTCTAAACCAAAATGTTTACTCTTGACTACAGGCAGTCACGAGGGTAAGAAATTAATTGACAAAGGAAACAACGGACTCAGAAAAATTGTTTTGACAAATTTAATCTTATCCTTACCGTCCAAATCTTGGGGGGGGCTTAAGCCCCCACCAGCCCCCCCTTAAATCCGTGGCTGCCTTCAGGTGCTATTGCGCCAGGTGCATAAAAATTTGTTCCTTGTATGAGTAGGTTATTTTTCCAGTAGGTAATTCGTCCATGCATAAATATTTAAGGCTGTTTTTCCAGTAGGTAATTTGTCCATGCAACCCGAATTTTCTTTTTTCTCTTACATCTCTTGGGGACGATTCCTAATGAATTGATTGCAGTGTCCTATAATGTACTTTATTCATGAAGAGTATCAGAAGCCAGGAAAGGTATTTCTGCATTCAAAATTGGCTCTAAACACAATTCGTTTGTGCGTGCGCCCGTGTGCATGTGTTATATATATGTATATATAAAAGATTTTACTTAATCAACCATATGTTAAAGGACTTGTGTTGCATTTTACTCAAATATGTGCGGTTCACTAGTTGTTTTACAATTTTCACTAGCAAGACCATACAGAATTACGCAGAGCAACTTAGTGAATTGGATCAAATGGTGAGGAAAATGGTTTTGGAGAGCTTGGGAGTCGAGCAATACATTGATGAGCACTTGGAATCTACACACTACCTTCTTCGCGTGATAAAGTATAAAGGGCCTCAGACAAATGAGACCAAACTTGGACTGCCTTCACACAGGGATGCTAACTTAGTCACCATCCTGTACCAAAATCAAGTACAAGGATTGGA